TTTGTGGAGTGTTGGTGTTTACCATCCTTATCTCCAAGGCTGGATTCAGCTGTGGCAGGGAAAGTGGAAGCTGGGGGCCCAGAAATGATTCAGATTATTGAGCAACTCTCATCACTAATCTTCATTCTGGGAAATTAGAACTGAGGTTCTTGCTGTGGTTGATTAGTGATGTCTGCCAGGCCCAAGGTTTGGAGCGTTGGTGTTTACCATCCTTATCTCCAAGGCTGGATTCAGCTGTGGCAGGGAAAGTGGAAGCTGGGGGCCCAGAAATGATTCAGATTATTGAGCAACTCTCATCACTAATCTTCATTCTGGGAAATTAGAAAACTGAGGTTCTGAAAGGGGAAGTGATTTACCCAGAGTCACCCAGCCAGCCAGGTGATGAGCCCAGGTCTGGCTGACCCAAGCCCACTCTATATTCCACTGGAGCATGGGAGGCCAGAGTTAGGGCCCCACCCAAATAGAAAAAAAATTCTCCTTTCAAAGCTCTGGTTTAGATTCAGAGATGGACCCATCCTGAGGCCTCCAACTTTTCTCTGAGACCCCACCAACCTGGATTTCCCCTCTCCTGACTATATACCTCTCTCTCTTATCCACTAGGAAACAGTCAAAGAAAATGGACTTTGAAGATTTTGAGAAATTCACCAGGTCTGTACAAATCATCTAACTCTGGATGGGGGGTAGATGGGAGGAGGTCTAGCTTCAATTTGTGGAGGTGCCTGGGACTCTGCATGTTCCATGGTGCTCTTAGCACAGCATCTGGGGTGGTATGGACCAGTGTCCAGGGGGAAGCAGTGCCTAGGAGCTGAGAGGCAGAAAACAACTTAGAGTGCCAGGAAGGCTTTGGGTGCTTTCCATGTGTTAACTCATTTCAATCCTCTCAACAACCCTGCGAAGTTACTTTTCACATACCCAACCTACAGAAGAGGAAACTGAGGTACAGAACACTTTTTATTAAAGTCACACATCTGTTAAAGTGGTGGAGCAGGGATTTGTGAGAAATGGCTCACCTGTCCAAATTTCAAATGACGGACGAGGAAACAGAAGCCTGGCAAAAATGAGACTTTTAATAACACTCTCGAGAGTGGGTGCTCATTTTACATGATCACACATGGGGCAAGGAACATAGCCTATTTATTTAGACTTCCTCCAGTTCCTCATTGGCTGAGGACTATTTGGTCACCTATTTCCTAAGAGGTCACCTAGGTCTTACTGTCTCCCATGGGGTTATTTTTTTTTTTTTTTGAAAAAGGGGGGAGCTGAGGCCTTCTCTAGTTGCCTCCACCTCTCTTTGGCTAGGGGCATCATCCTAGGACATGTGCTATCAGCCACATACACAGCTCTCATCCTCTCTCCCCACCCCCACATCCTGTTTGCTCTGGGGAAATTCAGCAATGGCCTGGCCAGATGCTGTTTCTTTTCTATGAAGATAAATCAGAGGCGTGTTTCTTACAGATTCAATCCAGCTACACTGGCTCCAGAGGCTGTACTCTTAATACCATATCAAAATGTTTCTAGAGAACAGATGATGTCGTTGTAAAGAGTTTGGATTTTAGAGGCAGCAGACTGGAGTCAAGCCAACACTCTGCTGCTTGTCAGGGAGAAATGACTTATCCTCTCTAGGCCTCTGGGTCCTTCCTGGAAAGGCAGACAGGGTAATAGAAGCATGAAAGGCAATGCTACACCTCCTCAAGGGCCACAGTTGGTTTGCTCGCTGAGGAGCTCCAGCCCTGCCCTGTCCACCACCATGACAACCTTCCTTGTGTCTTCTCATTTTTCCAGGAAGCTGAAGGAGAAGAGGCCCCGTGGTCCACAGCGTACCCACCCCAATTTCTTCTGGCCGGGTCACCTCCTGGACAAACTGCAGCTCTACCTGCCCTCTGCGACTGTGGACCGGAGCCTGATGCTATTCAGTTGTGTTCAACAGCGGCCCCCAGTTTACCCAGCCACCTACCACTCCTATCTGTGATAGCCCATTAGGAATAGGGACTACATGACCTGTGTTTATTTCAATGCCCCCAAGATCTACTACATCGACTAGAGTGGCCCAGGTGATGTCAGACCCAGCCATCCTGGGCTGGACACCAGTGCAGCTAGCAGCCCAGAGCCATAGACACCAGGAGTGTCAAAGAGCCAAACAGAAGAAATCATTTCAGTGGGATGGCCTGGGGCTAGCTGTATCCAGAGTAAAGTGATGTCCAGGGTCTCAGAGGCAGATGTGTCCAGAGAAAATGTGCAGTTTTGGGGTGTTTCCCTGCCCTTTTGAAATAAACCAGACTGGAGTTTCTATCATGTCACCTGTGATCCACCTGATGTAATTTCTTGCTCAGAAGCTGTGGCTAAGAGGGTGTTTGGAAAAGTTGGGGTCCTGAGCCTGAGGTAATACAACAGGCACACTCCCTGGGATGTAGATGGATGCCTGCCTGGCACCTCCAGCCTCTGATCCTGCGATCTCAGTGTCCGGGGGGAAGCAGCAGGCAGTTTTGGGAACCCTGTGCCTTCCTCTGAGAAACACCATGTCTCTCATCCCCCCCAAAAAACTGAGCCATTGGATTACTTCTTCCAACTCTCCCGAGTCTTTTGCAATTGGAAGCATGTGCTCTGGTTCATGAGCTCTTTGTCTGATTAACCCATCTGATGCTGTCAAAACCGTTTCCATTATATGGACAGGTATTTTTTAAAAAATAATTATTTTTTATTGATTTCAGAGAGGAAGGGAAAGGGAGAGAGAGATGGACACATCAATGATGAGAGAGAATCATTGATTGGCAGCCTCCTGAACGCTCTCCACTGGGGACCAAGCCCCCAACTCAGACATGTTCCCTGACGACATGACGGAATCGAACAGTGTCCCCCTGGTTCATAGGTAGACATGGGCAGCTATTAATACAGTGCTCCCTGCTCTACATCCCATGTGACTCCCCACAGACCACAGGATAAGCAGGATTCATGACGTGTGATTCACAAAGGGGTTTTAGTCTCAACTCTGTTTGCCAAATATGTGGCCTGGAACAAGACATTTGACTTCACATTTCACGGTTCACTTCTTTGGGTCTCAAACGCCCCTTCCCTTCACAATCAAAATCTCATGATGGAGTTGGCAACACTCACTCTCCTCTCTTCTTACTTCTCATTCAGTTAAGAACACATCCAGTTTAGCACCTGTCTCCATCTGGTGCCTGCAATTAGTCCTATCAAAATCACTAATAACATCAGTACTGTGGGGTCCAGGGACATTTTTTTCTTCTGAAATTTGACTTTTGCACTAATCTTTTTTTTTAATATATATTTTTATTGATTCCAGAAAGGGAGATAGAAACATCAATGACGAGAGAGAATCATTGATCCGCTGCCTCCAGCACGCCCCCTACTGGGGATCGAGCCCACAACCTGGGCATGTGCCCTTGACCGGAATCGAACCCGGGACCCTTCAGTCCACGGCCAACGCTCTATCCACTGAGCCAAATCGGCTAGGGCTCGCGCTAATCTTAAAACCAAAAACTAAACAAACCAAACCAAGAAGAACAATGAAAAACTTGGCCATTTTAGCGAATGGTTAGAAGTGTGGATCTTGTCAAACCCCCAAATTTCACTTTCTACATATGTAAAATAATATATTTACTTCGTAGAATGGTGGAAAGGATAGTAAATCCCATTGCATGATAGCTATTTTACGTAGTCTCATTGTTTTTTACAATAACTCACGTGAGAGCATATTATGAAGTCTTTATTTTGCTTCCTCCTGGCCCACAAGAGGCGCGCTTTGGAGCAGAAGAAAACAGGGCGAAAATAATAAAAAAGCTGGAGGCGGAAGAGCAGCTTCAACTTCTGGCGGAAGTGGGTGCCCCCACCAGGTCTTAGAAGCGCAGAAAGAATTCTAAATATTCTACGTAGTCCCAACAGCGGGTCTGAACATTTTTCAGTACTACTCCTAGACGTTAGTGTCTATTAATTAAAACACAGGTAACCTTCGACTTTTTCCAGTGTTATTTCTCTGACGTTTATTTTTGAACCACCAAGAACCGGAAGTGCTCTCCTTTTCCCTGCCAGGACCCAGAGGTCAAGTCCCATCAGGCCTCGCGCGGCACCGTCCCCTCTCTTCCTCGGCGCTGCCTACAGAGGTGGCAGCCATCTCCTACCCGGTGAGTTTTAATCGTCCGTCATCTGTGTCTCCGCGTTGTCCATCAGGCCCAGCCGCTCCCTGGTGAGGAAGCTTGTCCTTCCGAGGGGCCATCTCATTGGGTGTACTCCTTGCCGCCTGGCTGGATCGCCTAGAGGAATTCAACGAGGTGACACGGCCGGTGTCGGAGGTTGGCTTGCCGGGGACGTTTGCTCCTACGGCGGCTGTTTGGGGTCATTCTGAGCTGCGGGCAGCTTGTTTGAGCCGTGGGGGCGCGGGGCGCCGATTGAAACCAAACGGAGGGGGCCCTCGCTGGGCGTGGAGCGATCCGGGGTTTGCAGCCTCACTGGCCAGGGCCCGAGTCGTTAGGTTACTTCAGTAGATCAGCGATATCCGCCCATGTGTTTAAAACAACCTGTTTCTGTTGCCCGACGCTCCCGTCCCCATAGTTTCTGGCCCTGGGTTTATTGCTGTGGCGGAGCTGCCAAAAAAAAGAAAAAGAAAAAAAGAGAGAAAGAAACCGAGTTGGCGTGTCAACTCGTTCAGTTACCAAAAATTCAGTTATCGGGTCAGGGTGTCTCGGAATCTGTAACTGTGTCGTTGTCTTGGAGGAAATCAATGGGAGAGGGCTGTGCATTTACTACCTACTGGGTGCGAGCAAACTGAGGACACCTTGAGGAAGGTAACTTTTGAGTTGATTTTCAGGTAGAATGGCATTTCAAAGGCCCCGGGGCATTTTAGAAGTGAACCTAGAGGTTTCTCTCTACCAAACGCCTGCCCTAGTCTGGGCACGGCACACGTTCAACGTGCATCAGTGTCTCCGGTTTTATAGGTGAGAAAACAGATTCCAGTTCACGTGGTTTGTCAAATGCCGGCATAACTAAAAGGAGGTGGAACCGGCTGGGAGTTGGGACGCTGGGGCGTAGGAATTGCCTGCTGAAGACGTTTGGGGCCAGCCATTGGGATTCTTTCTTGGCTTTGAGTGGGCGAGGCGACGCCTAACCTCCCAGGACCGCGTCTGGCGAGTTGGCTAATATTCTGCCAGCTTCGGAGACGGGAGGGAAAACAGCCTGGCAGAGGTACCCATTCCATTCCCTGCTTGCTCCGTAGCTGGCGATTGGAAGGCACTCTGCAACAGCGCTGAAGCCCCGGGCACGGACAGCCTCTTGTTAGGACTGTGCTTTGTTTCAAGGTCCCTGTCTCTTTTAAAGGCATCATGGCTGCCCTCAGACCCCTCGTGAAACCCAAGATTGTCAAAAAGAGGACCAAGAAGTTCATCCGGCACCAGTCAGACCGATATGTCAAAATTAAGGTATGTGGTCCTGGGGTGGAAGTGTTGTGTTGGGATGAAGAAAAGGGTTCCTGAATCAGCTACTATTGGGTTTCTGACATCACTTAGTCAGAAGATTACTTTTGGCAGGTGAATCAACAAGTCTGGTTGGTGGAAGAGCTCACTGTAGAAACCTAGGCATTTATTGGAACTCAGCCTCTTGAAGTGTAAATTGGAATTTAAGTGACACAACACACTTGGCTGTTTTGAGGTGTCCAGAGGCTTATTTCAGGTGGCCTTGATGGTACGAGGGGTAATTACCCTTATTTTATAGATGAGAAAAAAGTCTTGAGGGCATTGTGGGAACCCGTTCTCTTCATCTTAACTGTGCACAATCGCCTCGTGTTCCATTGGCGTGTAATATGCTTTTCCTTTGCTTGGGAGGAGTGTGGATGTGGGTCCACAGGAGCCCTTCATTTCTTCACTAAAAAATAAAGAAATAGTGAAAGCCTGTAACCCAAAGACTGCTACTGTTAGTTCTCATTTGGTGCCCTTTTTTCTTCCAAAAGGAAGAGTTGGCAGTCTGCATAGACACTAACCCATCTATGTGTTGTTTTTCAGCGGAACTGGCGGAAACCCAGAGGCATTGACAACAGGGTGCGTAGAAGATTCAAGGGCCAGATCTTGATGCCCAACATTGGTTATGGGAGCAACAAGAAGACAAAGCACATGCTGCCCAGTGGCTTTCGGAAGTTCCTGGTCCATAACGTCAAGGAGCTTGAAGTGCTGCTGATGTGCAATAAGTGAGTTGGACACACACCCCCCCCCCCCCCCCCCCCCTCCGGTTCAGATGCTAGAAGTATGCACCTGTGAGCATTTTTGCTAGGGGCTCTGGACCTTTCAAAGTGCATGTGGAGTTGTATATTCTCCCAGGAGCTTAGTGAATGCTTCTTGGGAGGAATGTGAGGTGGGAGCGCATGACGGCTTGTCCTGAAAAGTGTAGAGACCCAAAAAGAAGGACTTGCATTAACACTACAAACACTGCTGTCATTTGGGCAGTCATTTCCAGAACTTTGCTTTATTTATGTGAGGGGTAGCTTCAGACCTAAGGAGCACTTTAACTGTGGCCACAGGTATCTTCAGAGTGTTGTGCTGTCTGATGTATAGAGAGTGTGATCAGAGGTAGGGAAAAGGAAGACTACAGGCAGAGGGCACTTAAACAGTGTATAGATGCGAGAGTGAATTGAGGGGTCCTAACATTGCTTTCTTGTTGTTTTAAGAAAGACACTTGGTGAGCTCTGTGTGAGACTGGTTTGCTTAGGCCAAAACTAGGACAGTGGGTTGAGAAAATAATGCTCATGGGAAGACACAGGTAATAAAAATGAGTGAACCCATTTTTAAAGGATAATTCTTTATTGTTAAATGTATTACATGTCCCCTTTTTCCCCATTGTCCCCCTCCAGCTCGCCCCTGCCCCCCTTCAGCAGCCTATTGTCTGTGTCCATGGGTTATGCACAGACAATACAAGATCTTTGTGAAGCCATATTTGGTTGAGTTTCTAGGTTGGAGATTTAACCAAGCATGGAAATACTGGAAATTTTCTTTAGAAAGGATGAGCATAGGGATTAATAATGGTGGAGGCCCAATCTAATCTATACCTGTTGTGTAGCAAAAAATGAATGTAGTGCAAATCTTGCAGTATCAGGAACCATGATTTTTAATCCACAAGTTTCATTTCTGGGCATTTATGCTTAAATAAAATGCAGGAAAACTATAAGCTGATCATTGCAACAGTAAATGAACAATTTGTAAATATAATACATAAATTAAAAAATTGTGACGTATGGAAAAATGCCCAAGCACCAGGGAAAGTATTTAAAATATGTACAGTGTGATTATTAAATACATATGGATAAGGTGAGTTTATCCATATGGTGAGTTTTTGAAAATATGGGGGGAAAGCCCAAAAGTGTGATACAACTTAAGTCTTCTTGAAAACAAAGATTATGGAAACATTTTAAAATGTAGCTACTTTGCTATTGAGTAGACTCCTTTATATAAAACAAAAAAATGTTTGTTCTGTTTGTCTCACTGTTAACCTGTTTTAAACTGTACATACTCATTGCCTTATTTAATCACTCCTTAGTCTTCTCTTTGCTGAAATTCCAGAGGTAGTATCTTTTCTTAACCACCTTTTATGGCTTCAGATCACCTCCTTACTGAAGTTTGTTCATTAGACCAATTTGTTATATGTTTAGCTGTATGGAATGGATAAGACCAGTTTTTGGTATACACATGCTCAGGAAATGTTAGGTATCGCTATTCACTGGGTGGCTTGAGCCAATGTTACTTTCAACTTGAATTTTATCTGCAGCAAATAAGTGAAACATTTATGGTTTGGATCAGGGAGCTCCTTTGGATTAATTACACTGTTGGAGTCTGCTCTGCTACTTGCAGTTCCAAAACTTTCAGGAGCAAGTCCAAGCTCCCTGAGACTTCCCTGAGTTGGGCAGTTTGGCCAGAAAGACTGAGGGAGAATCTCAACCTGGGGTCTGGGGCTGAGCCATCCTGGCCCTGTTCATTATTGAATATGTGATTTGGAAATTCATTTCCACCTCGTCTGTAAAATGGAGGTGATAACCTGGATTACATGGCTTTTGTGAGGATTAAATAAGGGGATAGTGAGGGTGCTTTTTGTTGCAGCTTTGAGAGCCTTGCTAGTAGTGTGGAATTTGGGGTGTGCAAGTGTCGTCATTCAGCAACCATTTACCAGCACCCTCTCTGCCCAAATCTGTGGCTCGGAGGTGAAGTGACCAACGCTGTTGCCTTCCCAGTGGAACACACAATGTGTTCTGGGCTGGCTTGCTCCTTACCCACTCATGGATTCTCTTACAGATCTTACTGTGCTGAGATTGCTCACAACGTCTCCTCAAAGAACCGCAAAGCCATTGTGGAAAGAGCAGCCCAGCTGGCCATCAGAGTCACCAATCCCAATGCCAGGCTGCGCAGCGAAGAAAACGAATAGACAGATTGTGTACACATTGTATTTGTGTTAATAAAATCATAAAATTCTGCCATCTGGCATTTCCGTCCTTGGTTTTACTCTCCAGTTTCTGACAGCTTGTCAGAGATTGTTCTTTTGCCTGTTAATGCTCTGAAATCTGCCATTTGGAAGGATACTCGATCCTTCACAAGGCACTGGCCAGACCAGCCTTGGTCAGCTCCAGTTAGGGCTGGGGAAGACTTGGCCCTCAGACCAAGGTTCTGACTCTTCATTGAAGGACCTTGCAGCTCAGAGGAAGCTGTTCTTAGTCTCACTTTTTGTAAAGTTGAATAAATTATTCTGTGGTTCTTGTGGAGATTGAGAAAATGCATGAAAGGATCCAGGTAAATTTCTTCATTAAATTCTTATTCGGTGTTGAAATAGCACAATATAGCTTCTGTCCAAAAATACAAAACGGGGTGACACAAATCCCTCTATAATGATCAGCCCTGGATGCTTGAAGGTGGCTTTCAATTTCCCTTATGTAAACTCCCCCAACTCGCTGCCTCAGGCATAATTTCCGTAGGTGTGGGATCCTTAACGTGATAATTGGGACTCAGAATTTAACACTCCTTTACAACTACAGTAGGTAGGATCTAACTTTAATTCTAAGGTTATGCTATGCCAAGAAAGTATAGGTCACATGGGACGTGGCACGTGGTACTCTAGTACAGCTATTTTCAACCTTTCTCGTCTCGGCACACAAACTAAAACGTGACACCAAATATCTTTGCCGATCTGGCCAAAATAGGTATAATAGAGTAGTGGTGTGTTTCTTCACCATCCTGGTCAACTGAGCCGGGAATAATACATTAAACTGTTCCTGGTGTGTTAGCCATGCCTGGATTTAAGGCTCGCTTTTTGAGTAGATAAATGTCTTACAGGTTGACTGCTTCCTGTTCAAAACCTAATATGAAGCATTTGTGAATTAAATTACTGGTCATTTCCATGACTTCTTTCAATTGATTTGGGACACGTACTGATAAGTGGTTTGACTACTGACAACGAATTGTGCAGAGAAAATTGTAGTATAGGATCTCCTTTATTAACCTGTTTTCTGATAGCACAGAAAATTCTTTGGCCTGTCCCTTGTTTCTATAAGAAAGTTTCTAAAAAGGACACATTGAAACCTTTAGAAGGGCATAAACCAACTGGTTGCCTAAGCGGGGTGACATGAGAGATGGTTTGTACTTACTAGTAGTGCTTTGCTGTTTACCAGTTTATTTTATAAAGAGTTGAAATTAGAAAAACACATCAGGTTTAATTCACTACCCATACTCTTGCCCCCTGCAACAAAACCTTTCTGATTTATCACTGCCTGTTAGAATCTTTTTTTTTTTATTCTAAAAATGTGAATAACTCAGAAGTATCTGAGTTTTTAAGATGCCCAGCCAAAGCACTAATTCTTGGTATTCTCAATTTGATCAAATGAATTGTAAAATGAGAGTGGTGTGACAAGTATGGGGCACCGGTGGGAAGAAAGGCCAGCCTGCTGCCTCCTCACCTCACAGCTGTGAGCACAAGCGTAAACACTAAGTATTTTGTGAAGCAGTGCCTCCCCAGCTTGAAAGAACTAGATCAATGTGGAGTCGCATCAACCTTGTGATGTGACTTCACATTGAAAAATTCCACCCCGGTGCTTTGAATGGCTGTCCTGAGTTAGAGGGCCCAACTGTTGGCAGCCTTCCAGCTAGCTTCAGGTTGGGGAACCTATGAGTTAGGGTCCCTGGAGAAGGCACTGTGAACCCCAAAGAGGAACAGGGAGATGAACGTTTAGGAGACAGGCCAGTGGCCTTTGGTGGTGGGAGAGAGGCTGAGACCTCAGGCCTGGGTGGGCCCCTTCTCTTGAGGAAGGGCCCATCGAGGGAGTGGGGTAAGACTAGCTGAGCTCCATTGAATCTGTGTTGGGTGCTGAGGCAGAATCCTTCTGAATGCTCTCAAAGAGGGTGGCAAGTTCCGGGTTGGATCTGATTTGGGAGGAGAAGTCGGCCATGATGGGGCTTTTCCCCACTTCTGGGATGGTCAGCAAGGCAGCCACTGCCCTCATGGCAGAGCGCTTCAGTTCATCTTGCTTCTCAAACTCCTGCTTCACAGAACCAGCTTTGACCTAAAGTGGGAAACAACAATGAGCCATCCTTTATTGAGCCTGTCCTTGCACCACAGTCTCTGGCTTCCTCTTCACCACCTATGGCACACTCCCTTGCTTCACAATCTATGGTTCCAGCCTCCTGAGGGTTCCATCCACCTCTGGACTTTCTCATGCAAATCAGCTTCAAAGTCACCTAAAGGGTCTCTGAGTAGCCAATCTAAATTACCTTTATTTTTTGTAATAAGTCTAAGGTGATGATTCTTGTAAAGTGTTCACTTAATCTTCCCCTGATTAAAAGTATTGGGCTGCGTCAATGAATGGATTACCGTCATCTGTCCATTTCTGTTACCTCATCCCCACCCTTTCCCATTTAGAGACCCTCAGAAATTCCCCAATGCTTACGGAATAAAGGCCCTCCGAGACTTACCCAGACAACACTAGTCTCTTCCCCCTCAAGAGTCTAATGGTCAAGAGCTCGGTAATAGGTTGGACATCCTGGGTTCAAATGGCTCTGCCCTGTGAGAACTGTGACTTCAGGTAGGAACTTTTTGTCCCTCACTTCCCCAACTATAAATAAGAGCCTCCTCTTACAGGGCTGCTGTGAGGATTAAAGGGCCTTGTAGGTTCATCCCCTTCTCTGAAACAGGGCCAGATGTGCTTTTGAAATTCAGGAATTTGAGGGGTTTTAGAAAGGGATAGTACGCAGATGTCAGGCGATAGTCTGATACAATTCCCTGTAATCAAATCCACTAGTATTTCCTCCACTAAGTTAAGGAAAAAAATGTAAGAATATTATGAATATCACAAAGAGGGAAATAAGGTCATAAACAGCCTGGTGCCCGTTCAAGTTAAGTTTTGGTGCCAAACAAGTTACTATAGCCTTTTAGTTTCCAGAGCTTTGTAGGATTCAGAATTGTGGATGAGGGACTAGGGACATGGATGTGACAAGCTCTCATCATTGTGCTCGACAAATAGCATCCTTTGTGCAACCAGACTGAGTGGCTTTCGGGCAGGCCTCGATGCAAGTGAGTGAAGGGTGTCCTGACCCTGCGATGCCATTTGCAGCTCCTTCCTGTGAACTGGGTTTTTCTCCAAGCAGTACGGTTCTGAGTACACCAGAGATAGTTGGCCACAGAGACTGTCAAGAGCCTGCAGTACCACTGTTTTCTTGGACTTTATACTAAGTATATGTTAAACATAGAAATTTGCAAGTCAGGTTTCTATTAATAAGTTACCAATTTTATCTGTCTTACCCACATTAAAAAAATTTTTTTGAAAAGGTGTTAACTACTTGGAAATCACTGCGCTTATTGGTGTCTCCTCTTTAAGCTCCAATCTAAAATACTTTGCCCTCTTTCTGATTAAGTCTTTTGCTCTTCCAAAACCCAAATTAGTTCTTCATTCAGTAGGTATTTACTGGGTAGTTTACCCCCGAGGTGTGCCAGGCTCTGTTCTCAACACTGCAGCTTTCCGTGAGACCTTTTGCCCCAGATCCCTACACTGGACCCTTGAGGCACTCCAGTCTAGCAGCAACTCTGCCCCATACCAATCAGTCAACAAATGATTTCTGTCTAAGAGTGCCTCAGTTTCCCAATTAGGATGTGAGAAGAGGGCGCCCATCATGTTCAATGTGTCCCTAGTACCTTGCATAAGGCCTGGAAATATTTAATGAATGACAGAGACAGAGCTGGGTTTGAATCCCAGCTCTGCAATTTACTAGCTGTGTAGCCTCAGCCAACAACTTGGCCTCTCCAAGCCTCTGTTCCCTGATATACAATCGTAAGACTAAGAAGTAATAAGAACTACTTCATAGGATGACGATGATTAAAATAAGCCCTTCCCACACCATCCGTATCTTAGGAGGTTCTTGGTAAACGGTAAATGAATGATCAGCAGAGGGCCCAGGGATTGGGGACATGGGGACAGAGGGCTGGACAGAGGCTTACTTTGGCAATACAGGTGGCCCTGAGTGGCTCAATGAGCCGGTCCACCCTCTGCAGGACAGGCGCAGGACACAGGGTTGCCAATCGTGCGAGCATGATGAAGGTCAGCATCTGCCCAGAAGGAAGGAGACAGAGTACTTGGTGAAATGGCCCAGGACCACAAGAAGCAGGCCCTGGGGAAGAGCCGAGACTGGACCCAACACCTGGAGCTCAAGTCCAAACTTGAGCACTAATTCCCACTCACACCCCTGCCAGTGTCTGGTAACACCAACTATGCCAACTATACTTGATTGTCCTGAAGAGAATCAGAT